GTACAGCCTCTCACGTCCAGGACTACCAACGTCGCCTTGACGCTACAAATCCTTCCCAATTTGTCATTAGTCTCCATCAACACGGAAGAGTGCCAGTGACATCGCATGAGCCAAGACAGTGCGGCCCAGTATCCGCACCTACCGTCCAGGTTGCTGGTTGCCCTGGCTTCCACTTCCACTTGAACTGCCTCATCTTCTTGCATCGCCTGCCTTTGCCGTCGCGCCTCTCCTTCCCTGCCCTGCTTCCCGTCGACCCCCGTCCCCCTCCCTGCACGGCAACCTTAGCCTGACCAACGTCACTTCAACTGGAACGTCAACGTCAACGTCAACGTCGGATTCAACGTAGCCACCACCACCACCACCACCACCACCACCATCATCATCAACTTGTTGCATTTTCATGCGCCCCCCCCTTCTTTTTCGGCAGCTGTAGCCTGCCCTCTGTCGACAGAGTTCTTGCAACGCTGGCTCATCCGTGCTGACGGCATCGCGATAGTTCGGCCTCCTCATCATTTGGCGAGGCTATCCTCAAACACTTTGGGCAGCACCAATATGTCGCTGTCTGAACTTTGTTCGCCCCAACCGACAGCTCGAACTCGATATAGTCTCGTCGCATATCCCGTTTTCCCCTACCAGTGCAACACACGCCGATGGGCAAGACATATCCCTGGTCCGACTTGGCTTTCCCTCTTTTTTTTCGAGACAACTCGAGACGAAACGGGAAGAAGGACGAGCCGACGAGCCAGTCTTTTGCTGAAACATAGCTTGTTCGTCTTCGGGTCAGGTTTTCAGGCGACCTCGGCTCGGATTCTCCACACACCATTCCCCCAAGGTGAGTTGTGCTGTTTCTCGTCCAGGTTGCAGCTTCAGACGGCGCTATCGCGTCCCTCCCACACCTAATCGCCAAGCTAGTCCTTTGCCCATCTAAGGTAGGTCATCTCCTCCCCCCGAATCGTCTCCCCTGATGCTTGTCCCAAGCCAACTCACGCCACCCACGCAATTTGCTCGAGACGGTCCGTCTGCTTTTCTAGCCGCCCATCGTTGATGTTGCGCAATATGCGTTGGCAGATCGATTTGGGCGGGCCCTAGCGAAATGTGGCAATGTCAACGTGGAAGCGGACTGGAGGAGCGCACGCCAAAACCGCACCTCCACGGACCCGATGTTACCTCTCCGCTGCTTTATCTGAACATGGAACAACGATCCCTCCATGCGAGCAGCTTGCGTCTTTTTCTGCATACATTATTGCGCTGCTCCTTGGTGCTGTTCATGCTCAGCGGAGATCCCCGCTGCGCCCGCTCACCTCTCGCGGTTTATTTTGGGAAGGTCAATACGATATTGACTCTGACAACCGTGCCACAGGCAAGAAGAGATCAAACTAACATTTTCAACGATCATCCTTGTGCACTTTGTGTCACCTGCCCGAGATTCTACAGCACTTCATCCCATCCAATCTGCCGGTCACATTCTCGAACGCCAGCTGTCCAACGTTTGCGTGACATGCAGCCAGGGAGGTCCCTAGCTATCTAGTGTCGTCGCGAATGAATCCAAGGGGAAGAAAGACCGCGCACACAACATTGCACACAACCGCACGCCTATGTGCCTGCGCGGTGCGACTGCGACCTGGGAACCCAACAGCCCGGGCCGTCTCGCAAATCTAGCAACAAGATCAGACAGGACAATGCCACAACGCGGCAGATGGCTGCAGTTGCGTCGAGATATTCTGCACTCCCCACTGCACACAGCGCGTACTGCGTCCAATCAATACTGAAATGCCAGCGCCGTTCTCGCCGCGTACTTGATGCAGCGTCGAATCTGACCCTCCGACACCAAGGATTCTGGGCAGTCACTTAACGAGTACCTCAAGTCACTTATTGGGTTGCTGGGGCCAATTGTCTTCGAGCTCGACCGAAAACGAAGCGTCTCAACGAACCTCCTCCTCGGAGCGGCCGTAACTTGCGACCAACCCGTGCGTTCTATAGAAATGCCGCCGTGTCGCGATTCAGCAATGGCGACCGCGCACGCTCCAGGGCGGCTCATGAAGCAAGGCCATGAGAAGTCCGAGCAACCTCGTGGTTCTTTGAGGTTCAGGTTGGCACCGTTTTGGACCCCCTTGCCTCCCGCCCAACCCCCAGTCCCAGGGGTGAGACGCTCGGGGCGACTAGGCATTTTCGTGTGTGGGCAAGGGTCGTACAATGCTAACCGTGGCCGGTGTTTTTTGACAGGCAACGGTCCACTGGGCTACCTCTACTAAGGAGCACTTTGCTTACCTTGGGCATGCCGTCCCATTCCTCTCAAGCCGCAGGGGATTTCAAGCTTCTAGACCTGGCTCAGGAGCGCAGCCACCCCCCCGGACGGCATCGACGTTGGAGCTACCTTAGACTACGGATACCTTAGCAGAGTAGCGAACCAGTACCACTGACATCGCCACCTCAGCTACCGATGAAGCTTATTCTCATGGTACGGATAGTCAGCCGCCATCTCTCCATGGGTCGTCTGTCACTTCCCGGCCTTTCTGGGCTGGCAAACAGGCATCTTGGACCCTTGACGGGTCGATGGGCCTCCACTTCCTGTATACTGCCCATGGCGATATTGTGGGCGCTCATCACCGCGTATCTCCAGCATTTTGAGCGGTGAGGGTGAGCTTCAGTCTAGACTCTGCACATCACGCCGATGTTCTTCAGCATTCGTTCCTTGGGCCTGTCTCTCTGTAGAGACCCTCCCACCGGGGGAGCATTTCCGTCCACACCTCTCTTTCCGCAGGCTCCCCTTACTATGTATACCTGCCCACCCTATTCATTTAGCCGGGATTCTTTCGTCCACATCTCTTTTGGAGGGCCGCTGCACCGTCCAATGGACGTCCCCTGGACGCAGTCCATCACACCCCAGCTTCTCCTTAATCAATGTGCCGAGTGGCCAACTGAAGGGACCTCGACCTACTTGGGAATTGGCGTTATCGCTCGTCCTATTTTTTGCTCTTTTTTCTTCTTTCCCTCAGGGCCCGTTGCCAATCACTCAAGTCTCCCTGGCTCTGCCTAAATATCCAGCATTCTCTCCAAGACGCCGTTCGCCACTTGACTCTGTTTTCCCTTGCTTTACCCAACTTTTCACACGCCTCTCAATCACACCCAGTTCACCAGCAAGTCGTTCGTTCTTCACAGTGCCTGGCAAGCGTTCTTAACAATCCTACGCTACTTCTTCAGGGTCTACGTTGCGTCATAAATCGGCTTGTGCCACTCCTGAGCTCAAGAACCCCCTGACCAGACCATTCCCAAAAGCACCCTCCAGGTAGGCGCTTCCATGGTCAAGCTGCATCCCCAGCTGCTCGACAGATGTACATTTTGGTTCCCCTTGCGAGAGGGAAAGACGCATTGCCAGCACCCGTGGGCTTTTGCAAGGCTGGCCTGCATGAACTAATTCGGAATACAGACAGAAGAACCACGCACAAGTCAGGTCCCCCAGCAGCGGGACACAGCAAGGTCTTGCAGACACATCCTAGAATCATCCGCACGGCCCCGGCGAACAACGTTCAACCAGCTCCCTGGTCCATCCCCGGAGGATTGGGAGACCGTCGCACACCATCCAGACAGACCGAACCAGCGTCGAGGCATAGCTCCAGTTGAGCAAGGAAGCAGACACACTAACCAAGCCTTTGCGCTACCGCCAGAAGGACTAGAAGAACCATCGACTTCTTCCTCGGGACCCCGCTGTCAGAGCATTCTTCTCCCGCATTCGTTCCAGGTCAGGACACCCAAGTTGCGCCAGCCTCAAATTCCGTGCACCACTGGCTTGCCCTCCCCTGCACCAAGCGCACACACACATACGTACGGATACACACACAGACACACACACACGCATATGCTGCAGAACCACCAGAATCCACTTGGAGCACTCATTCTGCTAGCCTTGTCCTAATACAGACACACACTCCTCGTACATCAAAGACAACAGCCCGTCAACGCGTTTCCAACACGTCCCAATCTCCATCGAAAGGTTCGTAGGTTTTCGTCTCTAATTTCCGTCTTCTCTTTGCTCTCCGTGCTCCCCGAGGCGTGCCAAATCCCGTGTATTTCCGAAGGCCTCCGAAATTGCATTTCAAGATGCATCATCTGTAGGCGATGTTGTCCGGCGCCTGTCGGCATGGGGCTTCGAATACGCCCAAGCGCGTCTTTGTTTCAATTTCGGTAACGTCCCATGTTGCAGTCTGCGCATGAACTTGGCCTGCACGACTCATCGCATCCCCCTTGGGCCTCTCTCCTTGTCTGATTGCCGTCAGGGGAGGGGGGTCACCGTTTAATTGGGGCGCTCTCTCGGGACCCGGTCGCGTGTTCTTGACGCGGTCGCATGAATTTGCTCCGATCAAAGTTGGGAAAACAAAACACTTAAGATGCTGACTTGAGTCGATTTGCAGCGAAGCTGGGATACCTTTGTTTCACAACATCACCAACCTCGGACACATCTGCCCAAGATCACGGGTTCAATCTTGCAAAATTAACGCCCGCATCAATAACGGACTGAGGTTCACGGAACGCATCGATCGCGATATCTAGACCAGCCTACCTAACTACAACGTGAGTACGCCAACAGCAGACACTTCCCAGTCCCTTTTCCCAAGGTAGAGCGATGGTCAACCTTCCCTTGATCCTACGGATCTTCCTGTTCCCTTGCCTACGCGTCCATCGGCCCAGATGACTTGATGGGAAAACCTTGAACCAAGAGGTGCGGGGAATTCAGCAAAGGTTGGGCATCAGGATAGGCCATCTCTCGGCGATCTCATATCATGCCAGCCTGGGTAGCAAGGGACATCGAGCATCCCCGTTGGGATGATTTGGAGTCTGTCCTGAGCCCAGGGAGGCCTGGAAGAGCCTGGTTCAAGGTTCACTAGCTACGGATGACAGATGCTAACTAAGACGCACAGAAACATCAGTATCAACTCATGACTGTCAGAGCCATGGCGCAGAACAGACAGCCCTCGGGTGGCTACAAGCAGGAGCCTGACAACGTGAGTCTCATCTTTTCGTTATCTTTCGCGCGGTTTTCGCAAATTCCCTTCTGTGCTGGCCGAAGGCGGTGCGCTGGCTTCTTCGAACAGCCCCCCTTTTCCGTGTGTTTCCCCCCGCCGCTATTTCAATTACTCGAGTTTGGAGGTTGCGCATAAGGTTGTCTGCCTCAGCTATCGGAAGACTCGTCACTCGGCTACACGCTTGGGCGGCGAGTCGTGACAGGTGGTCACCACTGACCTCAATTGAAGCTCTCAAGCGGGAGTTGCAGAAGAGGTCAAACATGGATAGGGTTTGAGCTACGCGCATGGTTGGCGTCGACAAGAGGAGTTTCCTGGGATTTCCGTGGCTTCCAGAAGATGGCAACGCTGTCGCAAGCTTGACCAGGTCAGGACTCAAAGTCTGTGAGATTGGCAGGGTGGCTCCTGTTTCACCAATGACTGGGCTGTCGCAGGCTTCATTGCATGAGTGGGACGTCCCAACCAGCGCGTGACGACGCTATTCCCTTTTGCGCCATTTTTTATTTTATTTTGTCTTGATTTTATTTTTGCATGTCGAAGTGGGGGGATAGGAAAGTTGGAGAGAGTGTGAGGGGACAGGCGGGCAGGCGGGCAGCCAGACCAAGCCAGCCGGGGTTGGGCAGGGCAGGGTGAGTGCTACCCAACCTGGTTCAAGCTCCGGGGGGCTGGTTGAACATTGGGGGTACCTTGGGAAAGCTCCCAGAGACACGTTCGTGGTTCCGCCATAGTGTGCAAAGGAAGCCGGCTTGCGGTCGAGTCTTTGCGCCGTGGACTGGGGTGTCGCGCGCGCGGAGGTGCAGCCTGTTGCCTTCTCGCGCGCACCCCCTTGCGAGCCACGGCGATCACGACATTCCTCCCAAGGCTGGCTTTTTGCAGTCACATATTCCCTTCGGATTCCGTACGGATAAACTCCTCGTGTTGTGGACGGAGATGACGGTTGAGAATTGTTGATGGCGCATGCGTCAGGTCAAGCGGTGGCTGGTTTGTTGGACATGAGGAACACCGCGCAGGGCAAAACGGCGGCCAACGGCTACCCGGGCCTGCCCAGATGCCTAGTGTTGTCTCGAGTACAACGGGTACCGACCTTTCAGCTTTTTAGGCCTTAGTCAGGTTGAGCTACGCTATGGTACGGGAAAGTGTGTACGCCTCCCCCTCGTTGCCGTCCTCGTCCTTGGGCCCTTTCTCCCGGCTACTACTCACGTGGACTGAAAACACGAGAGCGTCACGACCTACTGCTTGTCATGATGTCCACGTCAGAATGACGGGAGAAAGAAAAAAGGAGAAAAAAAAGAGGGCGACGGAAAATCCCACAATCTAGCCGAAAAGAATCGGCTGAAGGAGGAGCTTGTTCAAGGCGATGAGCTCTGTCCGTGGATGTCCAGTACGGCAAACGAGGTATTGGTAGTATGCCTTTTGACTGGGCCTTTCCCTGGCAAAAGCAAGATGAAGATGAGGTGACGATTGTGGAGATCTGGAGGCGTGGGGTGGGGTGCACTCATCCTTTTCTTTCTCATCGCTCTGCGGCACAAGTTCTTGGTGGGGCTGCCAGCAGCTTCCCCAATGACGGGTGGCTGAGCGATGGGAAGAGGGGGTCGGTGCTGACCCAGCCGATGCATTCATTACTCTGTTCGTTTGCCAGAATGATTCGGAATCGGCTGCTGTTGGGAACATCTGAGCGGGTCCCAAGTTGACTTCCTCTCTCATCGATTGCGCATTGATCGGGGGCGGGAATCGGGAACCTGCTGGATGATTGGCTAGGCAGAGAGGCAACGAGGGAAGTTGTACATGTTTCGAGCCGCGCCAGCAGCGAGGAGAAGAAGATGAGGAGGAGAAGGCCTGCACACAATCGTTTGCCATTGTTTCCATTTGGAGGCAAGGGCGGCGAGGGTGGCTTGGCCGCCGCTAGTCGTGGGGAGTCCAAACCAACGTTGAGCGACGAGGGTGAAATGGCGACCAGCGGCGCGGCAGCAAAACGCCCCCATCATCTTCTCTGAGCTGGCTTTGGGGACAAACGTAACAATGACCTCGGAGCACGCATGTCAGGCACCTATCCGAGCGAGTATTGAGTACGGCGTTCCCGCATTGCTGGCCAAGCAGTACGCCGGGTTCCTGGTTGTCCCTGGGACGTGGGTGATACAAGGGTCAGCGGCCAGGTCTCAAGTCCCAGTGCCAATGCCAATGCCAGTGCCATACCTACCCATCTCCCAGATGCCAGCAGCGCATTAGCAGCAGCAGGCATGAGAAGCCGGGCCAAGGAGACCAGGAACGCTCAAGCAGCAAACGCGGGGGGGCATGCCAACGACAGCGCGGGAGTCCTGTGCCAGGTCCCAAGAAGCCAGGATCTTTCCAGACTGGCCTCCCACACAAGCCGGGTCTCCTCAGGCGCATTGCCCACGCAGCACTCTCTTCCTTCGTCTCTCTTTCTCTCACACACAGACTGTCTCCGCCTCATGGGTTCCCACACCGCCTTGCGCCAAACAAGTGCAAGTTGGCAAGGGCCAGGGGTGGGGACAGGGTGAGGAGGGAACCGGGAATTGAAAGTGGGAAGCCTCTTTTTGGGGGTGGTCGGTGGCTGAAAAGGCACGGCAGGGGTGGCCAAGCAGCAAATTGCAGACGCCATGACTCTGCAGTCGCATTTTGCAGCAGCGGTCTGTCTCCCAAGTGGACGAGAGACGACGACCTTATGATTCACCTTTGGAAAGAGAGATCAGAGATGAGGAGACGAGAGGAAAAAAAAAAAAAAACCAAAAAAAAAAAGAGACAAAGTCTGAGAGACTGAGAGAGAGAGAGCGAGAGAGAGAGAGAGAGACTGATTGAGGGCCCGCGGCGCCATCCCGGTAGTACCCTGGCCTGCTGGCTAGTCCCGGATGAGAGATGCCTGATTGGGTAGCTGACCCTGCTCGGCCCTGCAAGCGTGTGCCGCCATTGGTCATTTAATCTACAATGCAGGAGACCCCTGTCACGTTTCTCCCATGCGTTGTCCCACACATTCTCAAGCCTCCACACCCCTCCACCTCATCCTTCCCCACCCTACTACACCTCACCTTACACCTTTTTTTTTTCCATCTTTTTTTCCTTTCCATTCTCTTGATCCACCACACCCAAGCAAACCCCGTCTGCCGCATTGCGTGCACACCCTCCTCCTCTCCCGCGTCACACCTTGCCTCCACCTTTTCTCTCACGCGTTGAAGGAAGAAGGCTCGCAAAGGAAGGCTCATCAAGCTATATTCACGCCCCCTCCTTTCCCACGACACCAACCCCTCTTGTCCCATCTTCACTTCTTCTGCGTCCTTTCCTCATCTGCCTCGCCCTCATCCATGCCCACCACTGCCGCCAATACTCCTTCTCCTCCCAACACCCACGCCTCCCCTAGTCGTTATTATCCCCTGTCCGTCCTCCTCCCACGCGCTGCTTCTACTCTGGGACCTATGCAAGTTGCAGGAAGAAAAGCATCGAGAAGCTCTCTCCCGAGTCTCTCTCTCTTGCCTGGCCTGCGTCCCGCATCTACGGATACTACCTGCGTTCGCCGAACCGACAAGATTTCACTCATTGGTGCACTTCTACCTACTTCTCTACCTACCTATCTCCCGTCGCGGCCGCCGCGGTCGCCGCCGCCGTTACTAGTAGACGACTTTGCTTCTTGTCCTTTCCCGCACGAGTCACCACGCAGGAAGACCGAAGGTGAACTCACGCGCGCACGTACGTTCCTAACCCTAACAAGATTTTTTTCTTCTTTGGCTCTGCGTTTACTGCCTGCCGCTGCTATTGCTTGCTTTCTTGATTCGTTTGATTTATTTTGCTCAACTTTGCTTGCTACGTCTCTGGCTATCTTTCTCTTCTCTCTCCTCCCGTCGTTGCTTGGCTGGCGCATATCATTCGTTGCGAATTACACGACGTGCTTCTTCTCTCTTCGTCAACCGTACGTACTTCATTACACATCGTCTTTGACGTCGAGATATACGGGATATCCTCCAGACCCTGGCCTGGGTGTGTGTACAAGCGCATATGCCCTCGTCGTCTCGCCTCCAATTTGCCCCACGGCTTTGGTAGCGCGCTTGCAAGGGCAGTGCCGTCGACATCGCCATCTCCGTCGATATCTCGACTTCGCCGCGCCGTAACCTCGCATCGGGCCCAAAGGTGTCAAGGTACCGTGCCATTATATCGCCCCCCCTGTATTACCTTACATTGCACTTTCCCTCTACCCCGAACGCGCTGCGGTATCAAGCTCCACCGCGTCGGCGCCCCCCTGGCACTTCGGTTTCCTGTATCATCTGTTTTTGGTCTGGCTCTGGCTACTGCGTCCCATTCCTGCTTCCTCCTCCCCCTCCCCGGTTGGGCTGCTGCGGGCTGATTGTCCGGTCCTGGATCCTCTTTTCTCGGTCCTCTGTTTCTCCTCACAAGCGAGAGAGAGAGAGAGAGCAGAGCGTGAGATGGAGAATGAAAAGGTTGAGCGACAGAGAGACAGACAGAGAGAGAGAAGAGATAGCTCTCGTACCAAGACGGACGCCTCCTGTCTCGTCCCCTGCCTCTTTCTTTGCTGCCCATCCCATCCTCCCCGATTCCCAGACACATCACTACCCATCATAACTACCCACTTTGGATCCTACCCTGCTCCAATGCTCAAATAGCTACCCTGTTCCTCTCTTGTACCCTCACTCGCCCAATCCCCTCGGCTGCCCATATTCCTGCTGCACCCTCGCTCCGATCACCATCTCTCCTCCGTCCTTCATACTCCCTTGTCATCTCATTGCACCCATCGTTTCTTTCTGCTCTTGTGTTCCTGTCGCGTCTCCAAAGGAGGAACCCGCAGGACCAGGTCCGCAGTCGAACCTTCTTACTCTATCGAGTACTACTCTCTACTCTACTCTACCACTACCTACCACTTGTCCGTCTACCTCACCGCGTCCGTCGTCCTTTGCCCCCAGTCGCGCAAATCTGCCAGAGCCAGGCCATCGCATTCTCGAAACCGCTCGGGTTCCGCTTCCGAGTATCCTCGTCGCAGTACCTGCCCATTTTCTCTCTTTACCCGAAGCTCGCTACATTGCTTGGGTGGTTATTCAGGGGTAAACCAAAAAAATAATAACCCGGCCCCCCCCATATTCCCATCCTTACCAGCTGCTGCTTGTACACATACACGCGCGCACACACACAAGCACACACTTGCAGGTAGCTGGGAGCTCTCCTTCCCCTGCCCTCGCTTCTCCGATCTGGCGGCGCTGTAGTACGGCGACCTTGCATCTGGAGCCCATCCATCCATCGCCTCCTCTCTCTTGCGGCTTGCCTTGCCCTCTTCCCCAAAAGAATATCCACATTTTCTTTCATCAGAAAGGGGTCCCGAACTGGGTCTAGCACGCCTCACCCGCGTGATCCTCGTCGATTCCCAGGACTTCCAGGGGCAGGAAGGAACCACTTCTCACCACCCGCACCTGCCTGCACCTGGATGCCCCCAGTCCCCTGACAGTGTCAAGGTGCAAAAAATAAAAATACCGACGCGCCGCGCCTTGCCTTGCCTCACTTTGTTTTTCCTCCTTCTTGCTTGTCACCAGTCAACTTAATACGTCGAAGCGTTCTTGGACGAGGGACTAATGGGTCTTTTCTCTATGCAGCATCACCCCCACCATCAGCCCCAGGGTCACGCACCTACTCAGCAGCAGCATCTGCAGCAGCACCAGCAACATCCTCGACCCTCGAGCGTTGTTCATCAACAGCATCATCCCCAGGCTCAGTCGCAGCAGCATCCCTCCTACGCTTCTGGACATCCCATTGCTCCGGCCTACCAGCAGCAGCAGAGCCAGCCCTCCAACGCCCAGCAGCACTCCCAGGACGGTCTTCCCTACTACGCGCATCCGAGTCCCTACAGCACCCCAGGCGCGACAAGCGGATACACGTCCGCTGGTGAGTTCTCTGTTTTTCTTTCATAGTATCCCCTGCTCCTGCCACCGAGAGACGCGCCTATTCTATCTGAATGAGACGCGTCTCTGGGTCCTCTCGAGACAGCTTCACAAGTTCACACAATCGTTAACCACTGAATAGCAGACCAATCCGACATGATGGCCGCCGCTCAAATGCCGAGACCACCTTACCCTCCCATGTCCTACCACACGCCGCAGTCGAACTCGCCCGCGTCGGTAGCCTCGCCTTCCCAACATGACCAGCACAGAAGCATCTACGGCCAGCCGCCGTCTCAACCTCTCCAGCAGCACATGTACTACCAGACGCAGCAAGCCCACTACCCGTCGATGCAGGCGCAACCCCAACAGTCTCCGTACGCGCAACACGCCGCCCAGACGCACCAGTCCATGTCTTCCCAACCCAACATGATGATGTCTGCGCAGTCCCAGCAGCAGCAGCAACACATGCCCCAGCACCAGGCACAACAACACCAGGCCCAGATGACCAACAGCCCACGTGGTCAGATGAAGGCAGAGCCCCAGGTGCCGCTGCAGCTTCAGAAGCCTCAGTCGACCCCTATGCAACACGCCCAGCACCCCCAGAACGGTGCTGCTCTGAACACGCCCACAGGATCGACTCCTGGCGGTGTCAACCCCAACGCGGCGCCCGGCCCCATCCCGGCCACTACCCCCCTGGTCGTCAGACAAGATCAGAACGGGGTTCAATGGATCGCGTTTGAGTACTCTCGCGACCGCGTCAAGATGGAGTACACCATTCGCTGCGATGTGGAGTCGGTCAACACGGACGAGCTCTCGGCCGAGTTCAAGACGGAGAACTGTGTATACCCCAGAGCCTGCTGCCCCAAGGATCAATACCGAGGCAACCGCCAAGTATACGAGACGGAGTGCAACACTGTCGGTTGGGCTTTGGCTCAGTTGAACCCTCCTCTGCGCGGCAAGCGAGGTCTCATCCAGCGCGCCGTTGACAGCTGGCGTAACAGCAACCAAGACCCCCGGCTCCGAAGCCGAAGAGTGCGCCGAATGGCCAAGATGAACACCCGGAAATCGGTTCAGGGCGGCCCTCACCCCGGTGCTCACATGGGCGGCCCCAGTCCGCCAGGGATGCCTCAAGGTGCGGGTGGCATGGGCCCCGCGGGTACATCAGCCAAGATGCCTGGAATGAACATGGGTCATATGCCGCACACCAACGCTCCGGGTGGAGGGGATGAAGTCGGTATGTTTCACCAGATGTGATTAAGAAGCCCTCCGCACGCACCTGCAGCGTTTGCGAGCCCAGTCGCTGTTTGTTGTTGATTGTCGTTGCATCGCACATACACACACTGCCCGGCACAACCCCCAAAGATCGTTGATTATGTGATACCTTTTCCCCCTTCATCACCACCTGTCGGCCGTGATCCTAGAGCGGACACGAGCTTCATCATCACCAAACACATACAAGTTTTTTACCTCTGTGCCTTTATTACATTATTCCTCTGCTAGTTGGTCAGATGTCTCGGGAATGGGTTCGTTGCACTTTTTGTCATTTTTCTTGCGCACCTCCTGTTGTATAGCGCCGGGCTTTCGGCCGCATCAAAGCAACTTGCCACCACGATACAGCAAAGCTCGCCGCGGGTCGAGAGGGATTTCCTTTTCTCTACGGCACAGATCTGTACATTACCATAGTTGCTGCACGCAGTTGCTGCTGTTGCTGTCGTTAGTCACCTGACCCGAGTTTGTCGGGCAACAAGATGCGATGCCTCTTAGAAGAGACATCGGCAAAAAGTCGCATTGCTTAGCGTTTTTTGGCATTCATCCCCATCCTTCTGCGTCCCACTAGCATGGCTTTCTCCGGGCCTTTTCTCGTAACAGAGGAAATGTCCCATCCCCAAGACCTGCTCTTATGCGATTCTTGTACCTCGAAAAGAAAGAAGCAACAACCCATCCCGATCCCTCCCTTTGTCGTCTTGAGCGTTTCGTGTTGCCGTTGGTTCGTGTTGTATAGGGTTGCCGATCAAACATGTTTGCCCCTCCCACACCCCGCTCGTCTGCATACGTCCTCCCGAAACCAGTTTCCAAATTTCTTCATTGCAACGTTGGCTGACATTGATTGTCTTGAATAGGTGATGGAGAGTACATGGACGAACACCATCACCACCACCAGGCCCCCGCTGGCCAGGAGGGTGGTGACGTCAGACAGTCGCAGGTCTTTTCCGGAAGCTACGGTGGTCACGGAGGCTACCCGGCACCCAGTTCCGGGTCGATGCCGCACATGGGAAGCAGCTCCCACGGCGGTGCCATCTCTGCTCGCCGCCACAGCCGCAGCGACAACGGCGAGCCGGAGGATCTGTTCCCCAACATCCCCGAGGCCAAGAAGCGCAAGTTCATCCTCGTCGAAGACAATGTGCGCGGCTCGCGTCTGCGTGTCAGAGTCACCCTCGACGGCGTCGACACCAAGGAGATTCCCGACTCCTTCCGCAAGGGCGCTTCCGTCTTCCCCCGGTCGTACTTCCCGCGCGAGATGCAGAGCCCGCCGCCGTCCGCCACCGGCACAAAGTTCTTCCAAGAGGATGCCGATGATGAGGACGACGGTGTCGAAGATACTGAGGGCCGAGGCTCTCGCCGCGGCCGTGGAAACAGCAAGGCCATGGTCAAGGTTCCCATTGGCGAGAACACCGAGGGCGAGGTCGCCATTCCTCGTATGAGGAAGAGCGTCAGAGGCAAGGAGGTTCGACTCAACGACTTGGGATATCGCATGGCGTGGTTGCAGAGCAGAGTCTTTGCCGGACGGACGGTGTTCCTTCAGAGAGCTCGTAAGTGTTTACCCTCTGTCGGGTCGAGTGAGAGTGAGTGAGCTGACCTGAGTTAGTGGACTGCTACCGCAACAAGACGCGTTCTGCCATTGAGTCCATCATGCAGGATGTCAAGACGCTCGTGCCGCACTTTGAGACGCGCGTCGGCAAGCGGAAGTGGAATGAGAGAATGAGAAAGGGAGAGGCTGACGAGTAGAACGGGAGCGCAAGGTCTTCCGTACTGAACTCCATCAGCTCGACCTAGTTACTATACGTTTATCAGTGTTGGTTCTCACTACGCACATAACTCGCATTCTCTTATTCCCCACGGACCTCAACATTCAGCATCATCAAAGCGAGTCACCATGCCCGTCCAAACCAATTCAAAACGTTTATCAGTGCTTTCAATCTCGTTTTCGCGCATCGTTAATACCGACGTCTCACGACCACACACGCACACAACAACAACAAAACAAAAAGAGGGTGCCCATTCTGCACATACCGTGCCCGACCGCCACGACAAGTTTATAAAAAAGAGGTTAGGACCAGGAAAGGAAGCGAAAGAAAAATCCACTCACGCAAGAGGGATGTTTTCCTAGGTGACGATTTGACGATGAAAACAACTTTTCTTCTTCTCTACGATGGATGACACTTTATTTTTATCTTTGGGAAGAGGATGGATGGCTCTCTAAGTCATGAAGAAGCATTTGACACAAGATCTCCATTTCTTTGCAAGCAAAGAGCAAACGGGCTTTGCTATGACGCCTTGGACCCTACGACAAGACATGAGGCGGCTTTCTACTTTTTTTCTTCTTTTTTTTTTCCCCTCCCGCGGCATCAGTCTAGTTAGCCTGTTGATTGCGTGCTTTTTTTCTCTTTTCGAGGGTTTCGTTTCCATGGAAGTGGAGGATGGAGTGGAATGGAGTCTGCAACGCTTTTCGACTGCCTCTCTTTTTTCCTCCTTCTCCGTACATTTTTCTTTTCTCTTCTCTTCCCATGCCATTTTCCGGGGTAAAAAAGGGGTTTTCAACTTTCTGATGTGGTTTCCTGCGTTTAAACTCTCCTCATTCCACATCCTCTCTTCTTTCTTCTTCCGATTCTGAGAGGCGTCGGAGAGCGTACTTGCTGGTAAGGATATGCTTGTTTCCCGGCGGGCATTTGGGAGTGCGGATGGGACAGTCGGACGGGACAGCCGGATGATGAGGATGTTTTGCGGCGTGGTTTTGTGGTCTGGTCTTTTTTTTTTTGGTTCTTTTTTTAGGTGGAGGGCAAAGGGAATGAGGGAATTATAGAATTTTGGTACTTAAGAATCACTTCTTTCGACTTTACGTCAGATTTGTACTCAGTGAGGTTTGACTTTGGATGAGAGCTGTACGTGACGCTGACGCTCAAGAAACGATTCCCACTCTTGCCCCCATCTATGCCTCGTCTCTGTCTACGCATCCACGACGGTCCGTCCATCCCTCAAAACCTTTTCTACCACTACATACCCACATTCTCATCCCTAGGCGGCGCCCTCTCGCCCCTTTGGAACACAAACAAGGCCTCGTCCTTGCCCGCAAAGCTCGGCAGCGGAATCTGCACGACGCGCACCCACTCGGGCTGCTCTTGCGCCATGTACTCGGCCATGGTCCTGTCGCGGAAGCCGGTGTACCCGTTGTGGTTCTGCGTGCCGACGACGGCGATGGTGTCGCCGCGGTAGGCCTCCACCAGGCCGCGCGTAAAGGAGCCTTCGGTGCCGCCCGCGACGGAGCCGCCGACGACGGGGTAGACGAGCAGGAGGAGCATGTCTTTGCCTCCGTTGCGGGCGTTGAGAAAGGAGACGCCGTCGGAGGGGATGGTGTCGGGGACCCAGGTTGTGCGCCACTCGGATTGGAGGTTGTCTACTGGGTGGACGGTGCAGCCGTAGAGGCGGAGCATGTGGGTCCAGTAGCCGTTTCCGGAGCCGACGTCTGCGATGGGGCGGGCGGCTGCGAGGTGGCGGAGGATGAAGAGGGCTTCGTGGGAGGGGGTCGCGCAGCCAAAGTGGTGCATGAGGATGGGGAGGACGTGGTGGGATTGTAAAGGGTGGTGGCGGGTGGGACCGGCCCATTGGAGGGAGTGGCAGGACCAGGACCAGAAGTCGAGGGAGGGGTTGGGGGGTAAGGAGAGGGAGGGGGTTTTTGTTTTGGGGATCTGGTTGAGGGGTGCTTGGAGGGATGGGTGGATGTAGCGGTGGGCGAGGAGGTGGGTTGCGATTTGGGCGCGGAGGGAGGATTTTTTGGCGTTGGCGAGGTGGGATTTGAGGGCGAGGGGGGTTGCGGTTTTGGGGGAGAAGATTTGGATGTAGGAGTGGATGTCTGGTTGGGGTGGGGGGTCGAGCTGTGTGCTTTGGTTAGTTTGGGATTGATGGCGAGGGAGTTGAGGGTGGGAGAGGCTGGTTGTGGGAGACTGGAGATGTTGAAAAGAGTGGTGGTGAAAAGAGTGGTGATGAGAGATGATGAGGGACTGGTGGTGAGAGAGCCTGTTGATATGAGAGAGAGACCCAGGAGCAATCACGGGGGGGGATATGACGACGGGTTACATTAGGATACTGAAGACAAGGGCGGAATGAAATATCAAAAAAACATGCAAAGATAAACAGAGATTGGACAAAAACATACCGGCTTCCCCTCCTCATCGAGGTACCAGTCGTGCAAGCCGTTGACGCCGCCCATGCTCACGACGCGCTGGACCTCGGCGAGGCGGACGGCCGTCATGGCGTGGTAGACGTAGGTATCGCGCTCGGGGAGGTTGAAGGTGACGACGGCGGCGTGGTAGAGGTCGTTCTTGCCGAGGAGGTCGAGGGCTCTCTGCCGGCGGGCCGGGTCCTTGTTGTACTCGTCCGGTGTGAAGTCTGGGTTGCTGCCGACGCAGTAGGTGAATTTGCTGCCGCTGCCGCTGCCGCCGCCGCCGCCGCCACTGGGGGTCTTGGCGGGTGCTTTTGGAGGCATTTTTGTCGTCGTTGGGCGCGGACGAAAGGGTTTGGGTGGGTGGTGTTTGGTTCTGCTTTGGTGCGATGAGGTGGGGTTTGTGGTGAGCTTTTTTCGTCTGGAATGAGTGTGAGTGAGTGATGGGGGGTACAAATGTGAGGATGAGAGATTTACTGAGGTTAAGGGGGGTTTGAGATTTGTAATCGAGTCGAGATAACAGTCTCGGGTCTTGCAAGTTGTTGGATGATGCGGTTAATTAGAGACGATTCAATCATCCTTTGTGAACCTGTCGAGGGGGAGACGTTGGATGAGGGCCGGAAGGATTCAAGGTTCGGACCCCCTGGTCGTTGGCGGTGGTGCCGAGTTTTCGGGGCCGTGGTCTCGGAGCGGACGGCATGTCGTCATGGGTTTCTTTCGGTGAGTATGGCCCCCGCATTTCTCGGTGTGCCCCCCGGAACGGTGCCAAACTGCGTTCGTCTTACAACTTTACACACGGTGCGGATGTCAGAGGGGCCATACCCGACCCGACGAGCCGACCAAACATGCCCCCATCCATCACGAAGCCTTTCCTCTTTCTACATTTCTGACAAATAAACAAAGATTCATATGCAATGAGTCATCTGCCATGTTTGGCACGAAGCGTGCTTGGGCTTTTGGATTGTTCCGAGCCCCCAAGTCTACGATGGTCCCCTTCAGTCTCGAACTCGAACCAGATTGTCGGGACTTCGGGGGCTAAATCTGTATGCCGGATTCTCCACGACGAGGGAGGCGGAGAAACGCGGAGAAATGCCGGATTCGCTGGGGCAGTCTAGTCGGCTCTGGCAAGACACTCGGCAGTGAATATACCGGCTAAAGGTCTCAGTAGACTTGACTCAAGCGAGCACTGCCAAGACTCGAATGAGCAGGATCAATGAAGTCGGATGGTGGCCCAATGAATCGAGCCATTAGTAGAGCAGTCACCCAATATTCCGTCACAACGCCCTGATACCATGTCGATGTCTCGGCTTCCGCAACTGCGTGGCTCGGATTTCGGGGGCTTACTAAATCCAAACATCTTCCCGGTACCGCACCGCGTTCATCCAGTTAATTATCCCCTCGGGAATTGACCGCACCAAACAACCCCCGCAACGGTTCCTCTCGAATCGTGGGAAAACTTCTCTATTTCTCCCCCACACCACCCAACCCCAAATCCCTCCACAATGCTCCCCACGTCCCAGGGTAGGGCCGATTCTTGCGGAGCGTTTGCGGGGTACAACAACCCAGCCCATTGGATCGGACCTGTCATGCGGCATGTCATGTTATTTTGTCTCCATTGACGACAAATAAGCTACTGATTTTTTTCCTTCTTCATCCCACTTTCTCTTCTCTGGCCCCGGACTTGGCATCCACGGCTCTGGCACCGACTGCAGCGAACCCATACGGCCGCTTCGGACTTCCTTTCCCTCCTCAACAAAGTGACGTAGGCCATTCCGCTAGCTTGGAAGCCATCCCCGGCCGATCTGGTCTCGTGGCATGACACATGGATCGTCAAGGCTCGAGAGGTCGAGCCATGGTGGGCTTCATCTCGCAGCATGGCGTACGACCTGGGGGTCAATGTCCGACCTTCCCCCGGTCCCACGGAGCTGGTCAAGTACAAAATGGTCAAGAGCTGCCCTGTCCTCGGTGAACCTGACGAGACATCAGCCGCAGCATATGCTCGTCAAGCCATCGTCAGATACCACAGCTTACCCCGGACACGATGACGCGACTTAACCTGCTCGTGACCCTCTCCACGGCCTGTGCCACGGTCTCCGCCCTGGTCCCGAGACAGGCCAGCCCGGGTAACAGCACCGGCACCGTCCCTACCGTGGACCTTAAGAACGGATCTTACTATGGCGTCTACAATGGCCGCTACGAACAGGACTTCTTCCTCGGCATACCATACGCCCAACCCCCCGTCGATAACCTCCGTTTGCGCGTCCCTCAACCCCTGAACTCATCCTGGGAGGGCACCCGCAACGCTACGGAGTACTCCCCGCTTTGCTTCGGCTACGGCAGCGACACCTGGGTCCTGGGCAACCACGTCTCGGAGGACTGCCTCACCATCAACGTCGTCCGCCCCCACGGCGTCGCCGCCGACGCGAAGCTCCCCGTCGCCGTATGGATCCACGGAGGCGGTTTCACCAACGGCGGCAGCGCGGACCCGAGGTACAACCTCTCCTTCGTCGTCGAGCAGGGCGTAAGGATGGGCACCCCCTTCGTCGCGGCCAGCATCAACTACCGCCTCCATGCCTGGGGGTTTCTGTGGAGCGAAGAAGTCAAAGCCGAGGGCGCGGGTAACCTCGGGTTCCGCGACCAGCGCCTCGCCCTACACTGGGTCAAGGAGAACATTGCCGCCTTCGGCGGCAACCCGGCGCACGTCACCCTCTGGAGCGAGAGCGCCGGCGCACGGAGCGTGGCTTCCCAAATGCTGGCCTACGGGGGCCGAGACGACGGCCTCTACCGCGCCGCGATCCTCGAGAGCGGCACGGGTCTGGGCACCGACTTTGGCGAGGTCGAAGCGCCCTCTGCCGCGACCGCCTGGCAGGACTACTACGACACCATTGTGAACAAGACAAACTGCTCCGCGGCCGCCGACACCCTGGACTGCCTCCGCAGCGTGCCGACGTGGACCCTGAGCGACATCCTCAACAGCACAACCTCGAACCCGACCTTCACCGGCGTCGTCGACGGCGACTTCCTCGAGGCAGCCCGCCACGAGCAAGTCAACGAGGGCAAGTTCACCCACGTGCCACTCCTCATCGGCGCAAACTCGGACGAGGGCACCCAGTTTGGCGTAAAGGGCATCAACACGACAGCACAGTGGAACTCGTACCTCCGCACCGGCGGCGCCGGCAACGTCACGATCGAGGTGCTCTCGGCGCTGTACCCGGATATCCCGCGCCTCGGCACGCCGGCGACGCTCGAGGGCCGGCCGACGGGCGCGCAGGCGAACTTCGGTTCCATGTGGAAGCGCGTCAACGTCTTCGCGGGCGACCGGGCGCAGCACGGCCCGCGGCGGTTCTTTGCGCGCAGCTGGGCTGGCGTTAAGGCGAACCAGAGCGTGTACGCGTACAACTTTAACGTGCTCGTCAACGGCTTGACGCCCGCCGAGGGGGTGAACCATTTCCAAGAGGTGGCGTTTGTGTTTGACAACACGGGTGGTTTGGGCTACGAGACGGCGGTGGCGGTGAATCCCTTTGAGGGCAAGCCCGAGACGTTCAAGGCGCTGGCGAATATCATGTCGCGGATGTGGGTGGGCTTCATCACCAAGGGGGACCCGAATGCGCATGGCGGCGCGACCAACGTGACGTGGCCGAGGTACGATGTCGAGAACCCCGAGATTATGGGCTTCGATGTCAATGTCACGTCGTTGGTTCACGTCCAGCCGGATACGTACCGCACTGAGCAGATTGAGTATCTGATTCAGAAGTTGTGGGCATGAGGGGTATGGGCTGTACCTGTAAAAGAAGAGACACTGATAATCAAAAAAATAGTTTAATATCTGGTCATAAACAACGTCCACAAAGCTTGAGCAATATCCGAGTGCAGTAATAAAGATATTTGAATTAACCACCATCTCATAACGCGTTCCAAGCCTCCCACGCAAGATTGAAAGGGAAAGGGAAACTTAATCACTCCATACCCTCTAAATAATCTTATTCTCATGAAATTTAGAAATCATGAAAGAAATTTCGTCGTCTAATCCGCGCGTTTCTCCTGTGCCTCCAGTCCTAAAAGAAGAGCAACCTCGCTCTAGGGACGACGGCGGTCTTTGGTGCTTCTTGGCCCGCGGATGCGTTGTCCTCAGTTATCTTGGGGGGACCGCGTTGACGCCTCGGACCTTGAGGAAGGTCGTTGGGAATGGGTCCATGACGTATGTTGGGGTGTAGCCCGGGTCCGCAGTCACGGTGACCGTGACGATGCCGTCGATTGCAGACGAGGAGGAGGACGATGAAGAAGATGAAGAAGAAGAAGAAGATGAAGAAGAAGAAGAAGAAGAGGAGGAGGAGGAGGAGGAGGAGGAGGAGGAGGAGGAGGAAGAGGAAGAGGAAGAGGGGGTAGTGAAAGTGGTGGAGGTGGTGGTAGCGGTGGTAGTGGTGGTAGTGCTAGGAGGGGTGGTTGAATCTGAGCTGGAGCTAGAGGTCGAGCTAGAAGTAGTTGTGGCGGCTGAGGTGGTGGTATTGGATGAGACAGTCGGCGTGATGGTGACCGTGAATGTGACGACGCCGGTGCTGGACGAAGTAGTGGACGAAGTAGTAGACGAAGTAGTGGGCGGAGTGATGGAAGTTGTGGTGGACGGAGTGATGGACGAAGTGGTGGACAACGTAGGAGACGAAGTGGTGGAAGATGTGGTGGACGAAGTAGTGGAAGAAGCGGTGGATGAAGTAGTGGACGGAGTGGTGGACGAAGTGGTTGGCGGAGTGGTGGAGGACGTAGTCGATAATATGCTGGAGGAGGTGCTGGAAGTGGTCGTATCGTCTTTGGGGAAGCATCGACTGCGGCGCGGCTGAACAGTAGTCGTCGTTGTCGTGGGCGTCGCCTCCTGCCTGGGCTCGATGGTCTTGGTGAGCGGCAGTGCCGTCAGGCTGTTCTTCAGCTTCTTCGGGCACGTTTCCTCTGTACAGAAGTCGGCGTCCACGGCCATCTCCACGCTCCGCTTAGACGCCTCAGAGGAGGCCTTCGGTCGGGGCAACTCCGCTGTGGCGAGAGGGCGAGTCTTGATCCCCAGCCTGCTGAGGATCGGGTCGTTTTTCTCGAAGAGGTCGGTGGGAGCAGAAGCCGTGGCTGAGTGGTGGGAAGCCGAGGCCTCGGTCGTCGTCAGAGGAAGATTGATATCGGCGTTGACCAGGAAGGGGCTGGCGGAGACCAGCAAAATGCTGGCCAACAAGGCGAGGTCTTTCATCTTGAGGTTCTTCGTAGAGGGTTATGGGCTCCAAGACAGATAGGAGATGTGCGAGTGAGAGAAGATGACTGGAGAAGCGGGCAAAGAGGGAGAGTCTATCAAAAGATGGGCTTATATACCCGAATGGGGTCTGGACGAGTAGAAACAGGCTTTGGAATAAGATGGGCCGTTGAAGAGTTCACAAGGTGGCAGCCCTAGATTCAGCCTTTGCTGAGGAGTGGAACCGTACGTAACACAGAAGGGCTGTCAAGGCCCTGAAGATGTCACTCGCTACCTACGTAGAGGAGAAGTTTTGGCGTATGGGGGACATGTATGGATATTTCATCATAAGGCAGGGTAGGGCAATTTGAGAGAGACACGTTTATGGGGAGAAAGGTCGTCAAAAGCCCGTCGCCTTTACAGTGGTCAACGAGATATATATGCTTTCCTTCTCAAAAAGCGAGATAGTTTTTCGGTGTCAAGATGAGAATGAGAGGTCCTCAAAACGATCGACACCATTTGGTACTGTTGTTGCCATGACGATTTGAGTTCGGTGGCTGGCTTCAACTGTGAAATCGCCAACCTCAACGGCCCTCGGTGGCTTAATATGTGATACACTAGCGATTTTGAACTTGAAGCTCAGAACTTTGTATATGCTCGATTCAAGTATGCCTTTGGACATGGTCTCTGCCCCTGGAAGTCCACTTATCACTCCGCACTGAAGTTACCTTATGCATAGATCGCCCCTTCTTAGACAGTAGTGGCTTCAGACTCTGCCAGAAAGGCCAGTACGTACTATGAGCACCAAAACGTCCTCAACAATTCGTTTGAGGGGCTTTCAAACTTTACCCGTGAATTGTCGGGAAACGGAGTCCCCTGGGGCAGGGCTCATAAATCAAAGACCACAAGGATATGATTTCAAGGCTGCTGAGTCCACAGACAGACCTGCAACAATAACGAGGCAGGAGTGTCTTGAATTAGAAAGCAAACCCGCGTGATGTGATGGATTGGTGCTACAATTCTGCCCACAATGGTACTAGGCGGATGACATACAAGTCCCAAGGGACACAAAGTTAGATAAGGAGACACGAGATGAGGCTGAGCGAGGTCGGCTAAGAGGCTGCAGTTACGATGACGCAGTTTATGTTACTGTGTAATGTGCCAATTGATGGCTGCTCTGAAGCCTTGTTTTATGACAAGCCCCTTGAGAAGCGGTACTGGTCGTGAGACTGGATCTGCGCTTGGTGCTGACGACTGATGATGCTGCCGGAAGGAGTGGGGGCGGGGGGGGGTGGGGGGGGGCGAAGCAGAGGGTCATATAAGTGTAGCGGTATAACTCATCTGGAAGTTGTCCTGAAAAGAGCGCCGGAGACAAGAGTCCCATACACTCGTCCCGCTCTTTCTCTGTACTTATGAACGCCGCCAGCGCTCCAATGTATCGGAACAAGACGGCATTGAATCTGGTACGGTCACGTTTGTGTGTAGGGGAGAGCTTGTGCATTCAGGTGTATCTACTGATGACCTGTGTCCTTATCTATGTAGATATGTGCCTTGCACAGGCATTTAACATGGCGACGGTCTGATTTAAAAGTGAGTCTTATTCTCCTCAATTCCCATCACCTTGAAGACCTCCTCCCTCTCCTCCGGATAGACCAGGCGAGGGTCGACGGCAGTGTAGTAGTCAAAGGGAGTCGCATCGTCGGGGGAAAGCTCGGGCGCTTCGCCCACCAGGATCTCCCTCATCATCTGCATGGTCATGCTCCAACGCTTGGCGATGGTGCTCATGGTCTCCACGTTGTCCGCGTCCTCGGGGTGGGCGATCAGCCGTTGCGCCACAGCCGAAAACAGATATCCCTCCTTGCGGACCTCATCGCGGGCGAAACGGTGCGCCTTGAGGGTAAGACTGCGAAATTTGCGCAGGAACTCTAGTCAAAGGTGGTCATCTTTTGTGTATTCGGGAGAGAATACCCATGAGGCGAAGCCGTGTAATGGACGAAATCCAAATTCCCTTCGAAACAGAGCAACTCGGCCCCGTGGTCCTAGTGCGATCGATTCTGAGTCCCGCCACTTGTTGATATCGTCCATTGGGATGGATGAGTCCACGGCCAGTCGTCTACTCTGACTACCTAATGAGCACCGTCTACAATTTTGCACAAGCACCCTACATACGTTCACTAAGAAAGACGCATGGAAGTTAGGATACCATTAGGGGGAGAAGCTAGATCAACAATACCAAAATAAATCCCATTTTCAATAGTTTTATCCTTGAATCAGTCTACGTGACGATCAACAAGTATACGGTGAGCCCCAGGTGATTAACGCACCCTACATGTATGTAAAGCGCCTTCCCATAGCTCCTAGCTGACTGCCGTACGTAACTCACATCATTGATGCCAACCAGTCCATGCCAGGCACTCGACTGACGATAAGTGTGACTTTCAGAAGTCATTCAACCTTCATTCCGACCAGATTGAGCGCAACGGGGCGTTTTAAGCGGCGATTCATAAGCTACTCGAGTCACATTACTAGCTTTCGTATTATTGCTCTCAAGCCCGGTTGGAAATGAATGCTTCAATCTCTACCCGATACTATCTAGGAGGTTGAATGACTCTAGGACTCTGCGAGGTGAACGCTCGCGAGTCTCATTTTCAAAAAGCGGACGTGGCGACATCGCATCAAGTCGCTAGCTTTTGTTGCCCATTGGTAGATGGCAAACCGGCGGGACGTTTCTGTCTGACAAGATGTCTTCATCAAGGGCGCCAGCATGTTGATCGCTGACTTTGACGAAAGAGTCCTCGAGTTTGGGGCTCCAAAAGGCTCTCTGCAAATTTTTTACTGACGAGCTGAATCAAAAGTTGAAGTCCTTCTTACCTCGCTCCCCAACTTCCTAAAGAAGCGCTTCACTTAATGGCAACTTTGGACAAGATGGCACGGAACAGACGAAAAGAATCGCCATGTGAAAGCTCCGATTAGAAGAACATCATCACAGAATACTTGGAAGAGATGGGAGCATGACAACCGCCAAGCCATCATCCCAACGCAAGAGTCGTCATTGTTGCGGCATTCAGACTCAGTTTCTTGCGTGGGCGTAGCTAGACGTCACTAGACACCCAGTCCAATCCGACAACACCTCGTGCTTCACCAACGGGAAAGCCTTGGCCTTGTAATTCCCTTTAACCAGAACAAGCGTGCTCCCAAAGACGCCTTGCTCAGAGCCCCTTCTTCTTCTTCGAGTTAGGTCGAGACACAAAACATGCAACCCTACGGAGGGGAGTACCTGAGGTCCGTCCCCATTGCAGGTCAAGAAGAATCCAGTAGGGGACACTCGGAGATCCGGGTCCGCACCCGGGTACGATCCCACCCGGCCAGCGGGGCTTTCCGAGCACGAGGACGCACACATACCGGGCCAGTCCCCATCCTCGTTCCGATTCGATAGCCTTCAACCTCCTTCAGATCTCTCAACCAACGCCCCCTTCAACAGATATATCCCGCTTCCAGAGAAATCGCACTGCGCAAGGGCGTTAAGAAAGAAAAAAAAGGACCCAAAGCCGGAGGGCTAAACTCTCAACTCCCTAATCGAGCATAACATGCGACAAATCACCCTTAAAGTCCTTTCAACTCAATCGCATATCGCGCGACCCATCCAACATCCCACCCCAACGCCCCTCACTCCACACCAAAAAAGCGAACCACACACACACTCAACTCTCCAGCCGAGACCGACAAAAAAAAAAAAAAACCCCTCATCCACAAACAAGCTAGCCTTCGAACGTCATGGTGTTCGCGCGAACCAAAGACCAGTTCGTGCCAAGAACCTCACGAGACCATTTAATTCTGGGCCCTCTGCCCTCCAAACGTCTCGTCTCGGTTCTTGGAGTCCCCATTCTCCTTCGTGGAGGCGTCAAGTCGCCTACGGGCTAAGGACGCCAAAAGTGGATGAATCTTTTTCATATGCAAATCCAATGACTTCTTTTTATTTTTCTGCATTGACTTGATAGCCGCTCAACCAGTCGTTCACTTCTCTCCACATGTAAAAAGTCATAAATATCTCTCGCTTTCCCACGTCCGTAAAATCATTTGTGTAAATTCAATGAACAAGATACGCTTGTCGCTTTCAAGGGCTCCTCGCCCAATGCTGCCGTTAATAACCAAAGCTCCGCGCATACAACTATCGTCTCCTGGTACATGATTCCTCTTACATCTTCCTTCCCCATACCCTTCAACCCTCAATGGCCAGGGTCTCGCGGTCTCGCTCTCGGTGGCGGTGGTGATGGTCATCTCGTCGCCTCGAGTCATCGTCGTATTCGTCTTCATCTCGACGGTGTCTGCGGTGGCGCTCCCTATCGCGCTCCTCGTCATACCGGTCGTCATCGCCGTCCTCTCTCCTGTGGTGGCGATGTTTCCTTTTGTCGTCGTCTTCGCCATCGCGATCGCGTCCACGATCCTGGTCCCGATTGCGGTCGCCGCGGTCCCGGTCTTTGCCAGTCTCTTCGCGCCTCCGTTCTGTTCCATGCGTCAGTCTCTATTATAGCAAGTGCTTCTACTTCCCCGACGTACCTCGCAAGACCTGTGTTGCGGCGGCATAGGCCTGGATCTCCTCCTTGCTAAGAACGCGAAGGACAATGACGAAGTCGTCTCGGACTTCGAACCGCTCCTTGCCGACGGTCAAGGCCTCAGGGTTCACAATCTTGCGGCTAATTTTGGTCCAACGGGCACCAGGAGGAACTTCTCTGAGTTTCTTGTCGTCCTTGTGAGGGGCCACACCCTCGCGGATTGGGTTGTCCTCCTCAGGGTACTTCTTGGGTGCCTTCAAGATACCCTTGAGAGGCTTTGCGTCCGATTTGTCGCGAGGTGGAGACACAACACGGACCTGTTTCTCGTCGCGAAGTGGCGGAACGTCGCGGTCGCGGTCGCGATCGCGGTATTCATCTCTGGTTGACGTGACAGCTGAGTCGGTCGAAGGAAGTGAGACGGGCGATTCTTTCTTTGGCGGAGGTGATTCCTTCTTGGGTGAAGGCGTGCGTTCCTTGGGGTCTCGGTGTATCTCACGAAGCGGAAGATCGGCGTAAGTTTGCTTATCTGACCTGTCGTCTTTCTCAGAGCGTTCGGGCCTGTCCAATCGCTCGGATCTTTCGTATCTCTCAGACCGCTCTGGACGTTCTGAGCGTTCCGACCGGTCGACACGGTCTGATCTGTCAACAGGAACGGATGCCCTCTCTGGCTTGTCATCCTTCATGGCTGCCAGCTGCTCCTTCAATTCCCGAATATCATTGGTGTTGGTGGGATTGAAGCCAATCTGCCGCTTCGGACGTCTCGCCTTCTGCTCTTCGTCGTCTGGAGAAACATCTCGTTGTGCGGTTGTAGAATCACCAGTGAGCTTGGCTTCGGCGTCCCGGCGGTTGCGGTCGCGGTCGCGTTCTCGGTCGCGCTCCCGGTCACGCTCTCGATCACGCTCTTTATCACGCTCCTTCTCCCGGTCGCGAACGTCCGTCTCTTGCTCGGCGGCAGCTCTACGAGTCTCGACGATGACAGGTGCACGGTCTCGAGGGTCCCGAGACTCGTCCCGAGGTTTGTATCTCTCGGCAGCACGAGCTCCAGGGTCCTCTTCATCGCTTCGGCGCCGAGACTCTCGCTCCGGCTTCTCCGGACGCTCATCCTTGTCCTTCTCCTTCTCCTTCTCCTTTACGGCCGAGCCGAGACCAATCGCGGTTGCTGCAAGACCAAGTCCTGCACTCAACTTATCACGCAGTCGCTTCCGCTCGGCTTCATCCTCATTAGCCGTGCTAGTGCGCCGCAGATGCCGATCCTTGTCACTTTCGAGTCGAGCTGAATCCCGCTTTGAGCGATCCTTGTCCTCTCGGCGCTTGGATTCATCGTCGGAACCTCTCTTAACGTCTGGAGGGGATGTTCGATGTCCACTTCGAGACTCTGGTCGGTGGCCGCCGCGCGACTCTGGCCTGTATCCAGTCCGGGAGTCTGGACGGTATCCGTTCCGAGACTCGGGCCGTACCTCCCTTCGTGCATCAAAGTCGCCGCCAACAGGGGCTGAGTCTGTACGAATGCCGAAACCACGGGTCGTCACGCCATTATCGTAATAATCACCACTGCCATAAATCGGATCGTACTTGCGATCGGGCTCCCGAGCTTGTCGCTGGGCCCGATCGTCATCGCGACTCCGGTAAAAGTCCTCGTGATGGCTTGATCGAGGAGGGCCTTCATTGTACACTGATACAGGTCGCCGAGAAGCAGTGGCTCCTGCGACAGTCGCTGCGGCCACAGAAGTTGCTGCGGCTACATCCATAGATGAAGGGATGCCACCAGTAGAGCGTCGGTTTGTCGGGCTGGGAGGCACAGGTAAGTGAACAGGCGCCACAGGGGCTGCCGGAGGAATCGAGGATTGAGCTGGGTCGTATACGTTCGTGGAGGAGCGGTTGATTTTGTCCAAACCCCATGTGGTTGGCGGTGGGCCGGCTCGCTGTCGGCCGACATCGTAGGGACGACTAGTGCTCTCAGTCGTCGTGACATTAACACTGGGTCGGTAATAGCCACGATCGATGCTCTCTCGCCTGCGTGACCTTGAAGGAGGTCGAGTGTGATCCAAGTCGTAGCGCGCCAAGTCGCTTGGTGTAGTGTATTCGTAGCCATCGCTACCACCAATGTCGACTGGAGCATTTCCATGGCGGGAAATATTGGCATAAATGGCCGAATTCCTCGATGCGCGGTACGAATCATGCCTAGACGGTGTAGGATCAAGGGTTCGCTCGCGCATTCGGGTGAATTCTTCATTGTCCATTACTGCGCTGTAAGAGCCACCGCGGTGGTGGCTTCGGGAACGTATGGATGACGCAGGCTGCGTGTAAAAAGTCGAATCGCTGGAGCGATAGTCATCGCGAGTCGGGCTGCTGTGTCTGTTGCTTGACGAGTGGTGCGACGATGAAGTGGCCTGCGGCGGTCGGGTCGTTGTGGTAACAATGACTGGGCGGGCAGAGGTAGAGTCGAGGGTCGAGGAGCGATGAGAGCGATTGCGGCTCGCTTCTCTTAAGCCCGCACCGCGAGCGAGAGGGTCTTTGGTGACTGCATAAGTCGTCGTGGTGGTCGTCGGCGCGCCGGAATGGTGGGGTCGAGAACTACCAGAGGCGTATCTCGTCGAAGACGTGGGCATGACATGAATATCACCCCCGTACATGGAGCTATAGCCGATGCTGGTAGGAAGCGAAGCCCGCGCAGGATTGAAGGTGGGCGAGCGCGGCCGAGCGGTGGTGTACCGCGAGGATGAGTAGCGGTGATCCATGGCGACGTCCAGTGGTCGAGTCGTCGACGAATCGTCCTGTCTGTGGCTATCTCTTCTCGTCGCTCAGGTGCCTTCTCCCGCCGTAATGAGGTGGATGAGGGAGAAAGTTGAGAGACTTGAGGGTGCACGTCGAGGGAGGAGGGTGAGGAGGGGCAGTCGAGAATTGGGTTGGGCGCTGGCCACCTTGAACAGATGGATATGAAGCGGGACGGCCGTAGCGGTAAGACGCAGGTCGCAACCACGTGAGGAATTCCACCCTAAGAAAATTTGGTGTCTTCTCTCCGTTTCCTAATTTTTTTTTTCCCCCTTCCCCTCTCTGTCGCTTTGACTTGGGGGTGCTTTGGCGCCCTTTTTGGGCTGTCGCTTGTTTGGGCGTCGAAGTGTCTCACTTTTGTTGTCTGATTTTGGGCGACGGATCTACCAAGTGGACGGTGCCCTATTTTCTTCGCTTTTTTCCCTTGCACGGAAGGTGAAAGAGGGAAAGAGGAAGAGGGGCACTCGTTGTGATGGACACCCGCTGCAATGGAATGTGAGGTGGGTTCTTTTTTGGTTGATGAAAGATGGCGGGGTCCCGGTGTCTCCTCTTAGATCACTTCAGCTTGCTCTCTCTCTTCTCGTTCCCTTGGTCGTGTTTGGAGTGGAATACCCCCTTCGAATGGGTTGGGCTAGGTAGGTAGGGTTCTAAGGTCGGGCTAGCAGGTCGGGCTGGAGTTGGGTGGACTCTGTCGTCGGATCGCTGTCGAAACGGCCCTGTCTGTGTGTTGTGGACTGTGGTGGACTGGAGTGGAAATCCAAGTGCATGCATCTGCAGTGCCGTGGGAAAAGAGGGGCGAGTCAGCTTTGTGAGGAGACTCGGGCAAATGTTGAACGGGCGGGCGTGGTCTCAAAAATAGGATGAATGAATCCATGCAACGTCTCCATATGGTTCCATACACTATGGATGGTTGTGCCGAGTAGAGACCATGCGCATAGCTTGTTTGTGCGTAGAGGATAGATGAGGTGAAGAAGTGGAATGCATGTGTAGGAGGAAGAGAACCATCTACCAGGTACTGTATGTAGTACAGAGATAACGTCACTGAGGCTGAGGCATCCGAGAAACAAAAGATAGAGAGCCAGAAGAGAAGGGGGGGCGAAAATTGGGCAACGATTGAAGACACTGCGACGTCGAGTATTTTGGGAGGGGGGTATCCCGGGCGCAATGACGGAGGGGACGAGTCGACTGATCCCTGTCGACTCACCAGCAAGGATCGCGGGGGGTTTGCTTTGATGATGGATGCGGATGGATGCACCGGGGCCCTCTCCAGCCTGTGTAGTCCGTACCGTACTCAGGTATATCCGTACGAAGAAGTATCCGTATCTCCTTGCCTTTTGCAGAGATGTCAGGGAGAGGAGACCAGGAAGAGGAGACCGATGGGACACTACGGCTGGTTGCCCGAGAGCTTGTCTTCGGTGTAGCGGGGAACACACCGTACCTAAGGTACTGAAAGTGTAGTGTCGGTGGTATCGGCACGGGCGTTGGCGAATTCTGCGAAAACCAAGGACTTGGGTGATGAGGCCAAGGATGTCACTTGGCCGAACGTCGTATCCGTACCTGCTCGACCATACAATGTTCCTCCAGTAGGGGTCTTCGGAAGATGGCGAGGGGGCTGCGGTTATCCGGACTTGACGACGGCTGGTCGCTTCTCGTCGTGACAAGGCTGCATGTAGCGCAATGCCAAAGGCCGTCCCCTTCTCGGGTACTGACTTCTACACGTGAAGTAGCTATACCTTGCCCCAAGCTGACAAGAAAAACTGGCAGGGAATGGGCGGACGTGCGTCAACGTCAATGCCAATGCCGTGAGGTAGCGCCGCCGTCAGTGACGGAGTACTGAGCAGCTAACGAGACGACGGCAGACTGCCGGGTGGGTTGGTCCTTTTTTTTTTTTTTTTTTAGACTCTTTAGCCCACTGCAGTAAAGGTTTGGAGCGTCGACAGCGGTGTTGGCAATCAGCCACAGAGGCACAGAGGCTAGTTGAAGTCGCTCAGACCCGAGGTCGAGGAATCGAGGCGTTAGGGCCGGTCAGAGGGTACATGCAGGAGCGGTTTGCTTGGCTAAGGTCGTTTCGTCTCTGCCGTGTAGATAGTTCTCCCAAGTTCAGATGAAAACCAGGCGGACGTCGCTTGAGACGGGGGTTCTGGAGTTGACACATGCAGTTCCTGTCTCGGCATCTGCTCGACTCTGGCGGGCGTGTGTGTGGCCCTAAATCAGGCACAATAGGTAGCAGGAAGCCAAATTCTCCCCGGAGCATTCGTCTGCAACTTGAAAGTGTCCGGCGGAATTGCTGTTTCCCAGCTGGCAGGATCACAGGAGCAGCACCGAAACATGTCCGCTGCCGTCACATATGAATTTTGATTTGATGGCAACGGACCTGCTTGCTGACCGCTGACGTCTCAAGGTGTGAAGTGGAATGTGCCGCCAAAGACAATGATGATGATATTATGCAGAGTACTTGAGTACATTGAGTACTTGAGGGCAACGGCATGGATGACAGCCTCGACCCAAAATGCAAAAGCGTCCCGAGACAAGGGGGAGACGAGCGCAGGTGCCGCGGAATGAACTGAACCAAGATTGATGTAATTTTTCCGACTCAAGGGTCCGACCTGCTGGCATTGGTTCAGGAGAGTGAAACTTCAGGTAGCAGACCCCTTCCCGTCCTCCGTACCTCAAAGGCGAGGCAAAGAACCCTGCCATTGGTGCGAGCAAGCACGCAGTTGACGGGTTGATGGCTGTTGGCAAGGTGCTGTTGGTGGGCAAAACGGTCGCTCTCTTGCCGTTTTGGGAAACCGGTTGTCGTCCGTGTCGATCAAGGCGATGACGTCCTGCTGGCTGGACGTGGAGCAGGACTAAGAAGCCAAGGTGAGGCCAGGGTCAGGACCGCAGGCATACCGGCCTGGTCGGTTGCTGGCGCTTCTCTGGCCCGGCGAACCTTCCAATCCTGGATTTTCGATCTTTCGTCCAAGATATGGAGGGCTTCTTCTCTCCAATGCTTGCTGGAATGGCCTGTGAGAACTTTGCTACTGCTGTATGGTAAAGATTGACAGGATTGGGCAGATGACGTCCCATCGCCACAGGCGAGCCATTGTAAGACTGCACTCTGACCGAGGCTGTCGGCGACTACTAACAATTTCGCCGGAGCTGTCGAAATCCTGTTGTTGAATGGATTCAAACGGGACACGGAGTCCTGATTTTGCGTAGATGTTGCACGCATACGCGTCCAATAGCTGGCTGGAGATGCAACTGCAGGAATCAAGAGCGAGACGAGGGAATATGCACCAGACCGTGCCAGGGGCGCCCAAACTTGATATTCCATTTGTTAATTGCCATCTTCCGTCGTCCCGAATGTCGACGTCGCAGTTATTCCCTCTGCGACACGTGTGGTCCCTTGCTCTGAAATTTGACGGTGCCCGACTGGATGCTAGGGCAGGGGGACTGCTCGGGTTCCTGACTACTAATAGACACGGCCGGTTGCAGCGTGTACAATGTAGACTAGAGGGCAATGTGGAATTTGGCCGACGTCAGCGTCAGCGGTAATGTGCCCTCGAGGATTGTTTTGGCGTGTGGTGACGACGGGAGTTTGGGAGGAGGGGAATTCACAAGGGGAATCAACGAGGGACGTCAGGGTCGACCGTTCGGGACGGTTGGTGAATTGTTGCCTCGAGCTAGGAATGGCCTGCACTGGGGCCAATGGGGGATATTGTTTGGTGCATAAACATGGGCACTTAGGTAATAGACCCAGCACATTCAATGCCCGTCGTTGTGTTCTTCTCTTTTTCCGTTTGCATTGGTAATCGTCGACCGGGTTGGATGGCGCAAGGCGAAATTGCTTCATTTGCAGCACCAGCAGACCAGAGCTCTAGACCAAGCTGCCGTCATGCTTGATGATGCCCGGGCTAGGCAGGTGTGTAAGGAAGGCAGTTGCTACCTTTGGTCTCTTGGGTTCACTCTTGCCATTCTTTTTTGGGGTACCTTCCTTTAAGTTACATTCCCATCTGCTACCTGAGGTAAGGTAAGGTAAGGTAGGTGGATACGTACCTAATGTAGGACAGCTTGTGGGCAGGAGCAAGTCAACGACGTGCCGCTGCGTAAGCACGTAAGATAGACCGTTCGTTCAAGCTCCAAGTCTCCAAACAGCAAACAGCCAGAGACTTTGCTGTTGCGCCCTCACAGGTTCATCCGGCAGCGAAGAGAGGAATACGCCCCTCCAAACATGCACTCATGAGCATCGGAGAATCGAGAACAGTATCGGCCTGTCGTTATTGGCCGCCTCGACGCAGTTTCTGTTGCTTGTGGCGCTCATCCTCCACTCCTCAAACCTTAACTACCACGATCCTTTCCTCTCGCGGACATTGGGGCGTCCATTGTCATCCAACGTCGCCTGTCGTGTGCTCCATCGAGCCGGTAATCCGACTTTGACTCCAGCCATGTCCATGTCCAAGTGGATGTCTCTAGGCCACCTTCCAAAGCCCCTGGCCCATCGGGCTCTGTCCTATCCATCAGGTTGCCAGCTGCGCGACTCTACATAGAGTCTACTGTGGACTCTGTGGTACTGTCCGGTCCACTGCCATCGGCACATCCAACTCCATGCCCAGTTTCGACCCAACCAACACCTCCTGCATCTTTGGCCTCAGTTTTCCTGCGCCTGCCCGCCTGTCGTGCCTCTCGCCCACGCCCTGATGGCTGACTGTCGTCGACGATGCAACCGCCAAGCATCAAGCCCAACTGTGGGACTTGTCGAAAACTCTGGAACCCTCTCCGCGCCGCCATCCCCGGGCCTGAGTTCGACGCCATACGACACTAGATGTTTGGAAGTGTGGATACGGATATAACCAGCAATATTGACTGGGCGATGCCCACGGAATGCAGCGGCCGACAGCAGACCACCCCGCACCACCTCGTTCACTTGCGGATCAAGTCGCCCTCTACGGATAGACTAGTTCTCTTGTAAACACCATGGCCGGCCAGATGCCGCCACCGAATCTCGAGGCCAAGTCCTCCCCTCCCCTTCGTGTTGCACCTGCAGCATCTTGCCTTTCTGCAAGGCGCATACCCATAGTGTCCGCATATTATCCGCATACATATAAAGACCAAGCCACAGCGCAAAGCATACGACCAAACAAGCAATGACTTGCGTCTACCAGTCCTGACTCGAGCCTCCTTGGGCCTTTCTGCGTCTACAGCCCGCAACTGCCGCGTGGGGTCAACGGGGCTGATCTTTGAGCCCCAAAGATGCGATGCAACTCGAAATGTCTCCGTTGCGTCCTCACCGCCATGCTTTGGCGGCACCTAACGACTGTTGCAGTATTTCCCTCATTTGCGGCATGGGCAAGCCGCAATCGCATGGAAAAAAGGCAACAAGTGCAACGTCTCCCAAGCTGCCTTACCTGTGAGAGGTGACGGACGACGGTCAATACAAGGGATGGCTGTCTTCACAACCACGCAGACGGCCGAAAGAGGCGGCGGCGATACTTCCCCCCGGCTCTCTCCCGCTTCAGACAAGGAGCATCCCATTTCAAATCCTTCGCCAAACAGCCCTGCTCCAAGACATGTGCTCAGCGGGCCTGTGGTTGACGGCGCACTGCTCTCCGTCTTTGCATGCCTACCTTAATCATTGCGTTCCTTCGCTGACTGACGATAACATTCTCCCTCGCAGAGCAATTCTTTCGGGGAGACTTTCTCTCATCTGCTGTGTTCCCCATCAGACAACGTTGACAGTTGGGCAGGGGCGATCCCGGGGACCCGCTAACAAAGTCCGTTCCGGCGAAGCCCAAGACGGGGATGCCCCGGTTGTGACAACCCCAAGCCTCCAAACAGCATCGTTGGGTTATCGCCGACCTGTGTCGGGCGCATTCGTCCAACGGGCATTTGCTCTTCCTTTCAGGCTGTTCCGCTTTATTGACCCACGAGTGCCCTTTCCTAGCCTCTGAGAACTGCCTATTCGGTGAATGAAGGAAAACTCTGAGATGCTCATTCTCGCATCTCGATCTCGCAACGTTTCATCCAGATCGGCCGATGATCGCGGGCCTTGGTGCGCTGCGTGCGCACGTTTGATACGAGATGATGCTCTCCACTGGGCTAAAAGGATGCAGTAGACAGCTCAATTCCTGCTGGACTCCTACCGGGCAGGGCGTCGAGATCTGAAATTGTTTGTTTTTCCACGTGGTTTACTACGCCGCCAAGAAAGCGCCGCAATGCCATCTGAATCGAGGCCATAGCCTTCGTGATCTGAGCCCCCAGCAGGCAACTGTGCGGCTGAGCGTGATAATACGTATGGCAGAAAGACGTCGGCAATTCGCACATTGTGGGCACTCCTGACTAACCCCGTACCTGGAGCTGCATTGGCAAGGCGGGCAACGGCACCGAATAGTCAAACTGAGCACCAATGCATCGTCAAGCGGCACTTGGCTATGCGTGACGGAACTAGTTTGCTATCTAAGCGCAGTCCGTTCTTCCACGTGCCGCAAGTAGACTCGACTTTCTCAACCGGCGGTCAGTCTAGTTCACGAAATGCTTTAGACAGGACGCAAACAGATGGACTATGCGGCTTAGCTTCAAGTCCTTGCCACCACTCATAAGCCCATCAGAATACGCCTTTCATTGTCAAGAGTACGCCGCAGGGTCGACGAGATGATGTGGTGGCCTAACTGCACAGAACGACATACTCAACTTGGCCTAACCAGGCGCCAACACTGACTTATACGCAAGGGCCGGCCGCCGGTCCCCTCCCCTCCTCCTTCGCCTCACTTTTCTCTTTCTTTTTGAGGCCAACGACCCGTCCGACCCAAAGCTAGCACAACGTGTCCGGACGGCCTTGGAAGATAACTTTGGCGGGCCGGATAAGACGCAAAAATCGGATGTCTGGGTTCCTGGCTGGACCCTTTTTATCCGAACAGGCGAAAACCATTCTCGATGAAGGGTGGGGCAGTCTAGAAGGCCTTTGGTGACGCGGGCTTCTCCGGGGAAGGGGTCCGGGTCGTTGGTTGGGCTGTCTCCGTACGTGCCGGAGACGGTGTGCGGGGCGCTGCGCAGGTGGACGGGAGCTGCGGCTGCAGCTGGAGCTGAAGCTGGCGTTGTCGCTGGTATCGCTGGGACGTTTGCGAGCCGGGTGTTGATTAATGATGAGTTGGCGTAGTCCACATTGTCCACTTCGTGCGCTGTTGGTCTGACACCGGTCTGGATTGAGTTAGACGACCGTTGAAGGCGCTGGCCCCAAAGGGTCTCCATAACCGTGCTGGGCAAAGTTGTTAAAACCACGTTCACCAAAGCTCGCTCAGGTGGATTTTTGTTTGGAGCTAGTAAATTGACGCGCTGTCCTACTGTAAGTAAAATAAAAAAAGTTCTAAATGATCATCTGCATCATACTCAGAAGGGGGAGGGGTTTGGTTGTGTGAACGTATTTCCATCAATACCCCCCCCCTGCCCCTAATCATCCCCCACGGCACAAGAGCACCTCTACGCCAAACTGCCCATGGGATCCCACAGCGGCAGCACAGTCGGCTCCGTGCCGATGACGGCCCGGACCTCCTTGCTCAGGAACCGCGGATCGACGACGGCCTGGTAGACAAACTCGTCCATCCACGCGTCGCTCATGACGAACCAGCCCTTGTCGCCCGCGCTCTCGCCCCAGCTGTTCTGCACCCTCCACCGCACGCTCTTGCCGCTCTCCTCGTCAATGTGCACGGCGGTGAGGACCATGGCGTGCGTCATTGCGCTCTCGCCCGTCCGCAGGCGGCTCGCCTTGTCCATGCCCAGCAGGGAGACGTTGAAGCCGAGCTCGTAGTCGATGAGGTCGAGGTCCATGACGCCGGCGGCCGAGTTGCTGAATTTGCCGACGTCGGAGCCGAAGAAGATGGGGAGGCCTGCTTTGATCATGGAGACGCAGGCGGATTTGAGGGTGGGCATGTCGACGTTTACGTAGGTTACGCCGCGGCCGCCTACGATGTTGCCGAGGCGGTCGACGGTGAGGAGGGTGAGGGGTTCGTGGCGCGGGTCGTGGACGAGGGAGACCATGGAGTCGATCACGGAGGAGGTGATGCGCAGGTCGGACGAGTAAATGTCCCGGGCAAAGGCCTGGGGCGTGGTTTGGAGGGTGTGGGGTTTGGAGGACTTGTCGAGGTAGGTCCAGGTGAACTCCTCGCGCGGGTTGGGGGGCGGGCCGAGGGCGAGGGTGAGAATGGAGAGGATCTCGCGCATCATCTTGTCCTTTGTGGCGGTGAGGGTCTCTGCCAGGTTGGATGACGAAGACGAAGACGAAGACGAGGAGGAAGAGCGGACGAGCTTGCGGAGGATGAGGGCGTACTCGCGGAGCTTTGTCTTGACAATGGCGTTGAGGACGCTCGAGTTCATGGCGTTCCACGAGTCGGGGTACAGCGCCTGCGGGACGAGGCCGTACTTTTGCACCAGGTTGTAGACCATGTCCCACTGCCCGCCGTCGCTGACGATATCACCCAGCAGAGCCTGGACGAGGCGGCCGTCGAGGTCCTCCCCGGCGGCGGTGTCGATGATTTGCTCGAGAAAGTAGTTGCTCTTTTCGAGCTTGTCCCAGAAGAAGAGGTAGGACTGGGAGAGCTCAAAGGACTCGAGGGCGTAGCGGCGCATGAGGGCGACGCGGAAGACGTTGGTCGAGGCAAAGAGCCAGCAGCGGCCCGAGGAGCGCTGGTTCGTGATGGGTCCGCCCTCAAAGGGGATGCGGTTGTTGAAGATTTGGGGGTCGGCGAGCTTTGTGGAGGTCGAGGTTAGGACGGTGCGGGGGTCTGCTGTGCTGAGGGCCGTGAGGGCGAGTCTTTTGGGAGGGAAAAGTCAGCTTGGGGTGTTTTGAGATGGGCTTTGATCGTAGATGGAGGGGTTGGCCGGTTTACTTGTTCTTGGGATCGGCGAGGAACCTCGACTGCCAGGACTGCGTCTGCTGGACGGGGAGGCCCTCGGGCTCGCGGAGGAGCTTGATGTCGCGCTTCTCGTTATCGCTGCCGGCGGTGCTGACGTTGACAAAGTCGTCGTCGGTCACTTGGAAGCGGCGGAGGCGCTCGAGGAGGGCCTTTTCGTTGGAGGCGTCGACAGTGGGTTTGGATGCTTGGGAACCCATCTTGGCGACTTGTTGTGTGTAATCGTACGAGGTTGCACTAGACGTTTTGCTTGAAGCTGTATATGAAGCTACCTTACGAGCAAGGTAGCGGGGAGAGTTGATCGCAGTGAGATGGAGTCTGGGGTGTCACGGATGTCGACGGCGTGTTGCTGCAGCAGAGGCACAGGATCACGCAATCGTCAGAGGTCAAGAAGCTTAGAGGTAAGACGGCAGCTAAGAAAGAAGATGCCAACCCGAGAGATAAAGACCGGGCTGAGACCGTGGTATTTAAAACAAAGAAAAGGATAACACGAGTCGTAGACCAGAACCCCCGCGACCCCTCACATCCAACCAT